CATCTCCAGTCCTGAAACAACTTCTAGTTCTATAGCAGTAGAAAATATTATTGACATCAATAAATTGACTATTTCAAAATAGCTAATAGTATTTTGATTGTCTTCAACACAAAAAATTATAAATGCCTGAAGTGACAATATACCAATTACCCTGATATGATTATTACACACTGTATACATGTATTGAAATGACACCCCATAAATACAATTACTTTCAAAGAAAAAATGCATTAAATTTTTGTTATCAATACCTGACACATGTTGCTGTGAATTACAAACATTAAGTCTCTGTTTTCTTCAATAATCTTACTATAAAGTAAACATAAGATTCTTTTAAAGCTTGGTATAGCTAACTTTTCATTAGTTGTAATGCTAGTATTTCATATCTCTTCTTTCTCCCATTTCCCTAAATATAAATAAAGTGAGGCCTCTGAACCTTGGTATTAAACATTTTGGGGTTGATTTTTTTTTTTTTTTTGCTGCGGAGGCTGTCCTGGGAATGTATGTTTGACAGCATCCCTGGCTTCTATTCACTAGATACCAGTAGCATCCCAGGTATCTACCAATGATACAACCAAAAAACATTAAATATCTCCCAATAACTGCTGAAGCTCTAACCTGAGATACAAAAGCCTATTCTCAAACAATTTTACAATTATAACTTTAACACAATAGTCTTTAGTGTTTCCTATTTTCTTTCTTTACCCATAAATAAGTCTTGCCAAGCAAATGGAGAGCTTCAAACTTCAACTTTTCACCATACTCGCCTAGAGTTGGATTTTTTGGCTTTACTCTTAAGTCAAGCAGATCTTCTTTTCTTCTTGAGCACAAAAGCCAGTAAGATACATCCTTGAAAACTACTTAAAAATTCCTATAGTACCAAAAATAATCCACACAATAATTCAACAAGCATTTATTAAACGCCTACGTGCTCAGCACTGTACTAGGCACTAGGGGGTGCAGCAATACAAACATGAAAGTCACTGATTCCTGCCCTCAAGGAGCTTACAATGTAATTTTGAAAATAAATACAAGTGTGAAATTACAATACAGTATGCTAGAAAATAATTACAGAGCAATATATTAGTAAGTGCATGGATCACAGTACAAACTCAGAACATAAATGTTGAGGCAGCACAGAATAAGGGAGGTCTCAGTGTGAAGTGAAGTCAAATTAGGAAGAGCTCATTCAGAAGATACAAAGGAAGCCTTTGAAGGGACTGATGAACATGAGCAGGGGCCAAAGATTAATGTAAGCAAAAAGAACAGCATGAGAAAGGCACAAAGGCAAGGGTTTTAAGACAACAGTAGAAGGCTACAGGAAGTTTAAATGTGGTGAATCAAGATGAACATGCTAGGGAATAATGAAGACTGAAGGCATTTAAATATGGAGGGCAAGGTAATGGAGAACACCATTATGGTGTTCTAGAACCATTCTATACCATTATGGTGTAATGGAACATCACTGTTCTGACAAGAATTACCTGCTGGGTACTGAATAAACAATAAATCATTATGAAAATGGAGTTTGGAAGATCATTTTAGAAGATTTATACAAGATGGGAATTCTGAGGACCAGGAAATTGAAAAGAAAGAATTACAGTACTTGGGCCTTACATTATGTGGATCTTCATGGAAAGCCATAAAGGGATGGCAGAAATGTAAAAGATCATGATTCAAAGAGAACATCAACTAAAAATTGAGTCAACAGCAAGACTTTGGATAAGGAGATTGGAGAGCAAAAAATGATGAAAAGGTAATTCCAACGTTGGGATAAAAAATAGGAAAGGTAATGAGTCTCTTCAGGGCAAAGCAGTTAAGCAATGATGCCCATTTGAAAAGAAAATGGAGACTGGTTCAGAAGAGTGATGAGTTTTGTTTTCAAATATCAAGTTGTACAGGTAACTGGAAAAATTCCAAAAATTGTGAGATGGCACACAGGGTGGAAAACAGGAAGCCACTCAAATATACAAAGAAAACAAGAGAGAAAAATAGGGATATAGAAAAAGCAGTAAGACATTATTTTCAGTAGAACGGAGGAAAAATGAAGAGACTAACAAAGAAAAGCCAGATATTGAATAAAAACAATCTAAAAGGATCCCACAAACCAAAGGAGAAGAGTATCCCTGAGGTGCAGGAGAGATTCAATAATATTAAAGATAAAGGAGACTAAAAAGGACAAGAACTATAAGAAGGAAAAAAAGTTAAAAAAAGCCTTTCTATTTATCCACTGGAGAGTCTAAGGACATTTCAATATGGTGAGTATTAAAGCTAATAAGGAGAAATTTTACTAATAAATCAAGGAGAAAATGGGTTAAAAAATGAATGATATCTGGAAAACCAGGGTTGAGAAAAGAAACAAAATGGTTGTTGGAAATGGGCAAAGAAGTTGAAGGTTCTTTACATTTCATGCTTTTGATAAACTTACTATTGTCATCCTAGCAATCTATCTCCCCAGCCTGGGACACTGAAGGTTTCATTTCCCTCCATAATTCTACTTTCCCTTAGGCAATTTGAAGAAATGTGTTTGAATCTAAGTTATTATTGCTTTATTTTCCCAGTTACTCTTTTAAAGATTTTATTTATATAATTTAGCTTTCAAGAACTAAAAAGCATCAAGAGAACCAACATTTAAAGAAAGTATAAACCAAAATGGTATTTTTCAACCAATTTTCCAGTTATTATAATGAATTTGTACTATACCAGTACCTATGCTGGCATTTACTCAGTACCTTTTATTACCAGGGATACATGTCTTTTAATGTTCAGCTTTCTCTTCCTCCATTAATTATCTATAAAATGGAGCATATAACAATAACTATCATAAGCAGGAGAAATGCTTAACATAGGGTTGGGCACAAAGTAAGTACTCAATAAATGCCAGCTATTATATGGAGACTTAGAACCAAGAGTAAAGCTAAGCAGCTTCGTAAGTGAATCAACTATTCTAGCACTGCTACCTTGCCTCATGGGGAAAGTCTTTGAAACCTAAGATACCTCTCCTTGGACTACGTTGGATGGCAAAAGAGTTATGGAAGAACCACCTTATCATGCCAGTTCCTAAAACTAGAAACTGAGGATGAAAGAAACCACTGATGAATAGTTCATTTCAGATTAAGAGCATAAAAACAGAATCTGCAGATAAAGGAGCATAATATACGTAATTCAGAGTTAAAAGTTCAAAATGATGTTGTAGCTCAGTGGTTTGAGTGCTCACCTCACATGTGGAAGGCACTGGGTTTAATCCTCAGCACCACATAAAAATAAAGGTATTGTGTTCATCTACAACTAAAAAAAAAATTTTTTTTAAAATATTTGAGTGGTAAGAGAACTTGAGACAAAGAATGACTTTTACTTATATCTTCAAAGAATCTAATCTTAAATCACTTGGCCATTTCTATATAATATGCCGAATCAGCATTTTTTGGGAGGCCATACTGAGAAGTGAACCCAGGGTGCTTTTCCACTGAGCCATACCCCTAGTGCTTTTCATTTTTTTGAAAACAGGGTCTAAGTTGCTGAGGCTGGCTTTGAATCTGTGATTCTCCTGCCTCAGTGGGATTACAGGCATGCACCAGCACACCCGGATGAATCAGCTTTGATAATTCTTTCAAGTGACAATCTTTTCTCAAATTCACCCCAGTTTAACACTAACATTCCTAGTTGTACTATTTTTTTTTTCTCTGAATTTCTGCCAGATGCTCAGTAATTCTGAGGTTTAAGTAATCTGGCTACACACTACTCTGGGTACTGATATCTAAAGAAACATTGGCTAGTAATAAACATTTTATTATGTTGCTCGGTTAAAAGAGCTTTGTTTTAGAATTGAAGGCAAGTGTTTTCCTAAAATATGTAAGAAGAGTGTATGGGTACATACGTATGTGTGCACAAATGTGTATTTTCCTTCTAACATACCCATCCTATGCACACAAGGTAGCACTGATGCCATGCAGAATTAGTATCTTACAAAGGGTAAGGCACAACTGAAACAGAAAGCAAGGATCTAGACACAATCAGACTTGTTTCTGGTTTGTTGAAATTTAAAGTACAGGAATTAGGAATGGTCATCTATAAGTTAAAAAAAAAAAAGGAAAGAAAAAGAGAATAAGAAAATAGAATAAGAAGAACTGGGCATGGTGGTGCACCTGTAATCCCAGTAGCTCACAAGGCTGAGGCAGGAGATCAGGAGTTCAAAGCCAGTCTCAGCAACTTAGCAAGGCCCTAAGTAACTCAGCGAAACCCTGTCTCTAAATAAAATATTAAAAAAGGCTGGGGATGAGGCTTAGTGCCCTTGGGTTCAATCTCTAGTACCAAAAGAGAAGAAAAGAAAGGATAACAAAATGAACTGTTCTGAAGAAGTTAACCAAACAAACTAGGATGACTGGTGATACGAAGGTACTGATGGTTTAATGAAATAAATGCAGATAATAATCTTCATGTTGTAGATACTCAAGGTGGGCTATAGGGAGGTAGAGAGGAATGTTATAGAGAAGAAATTTCTGATTGTTCCAAAGGTGTACATCTTTGAGGTAAGGTTTTATGATTGGCTTTTTAACATATCAATCATAAACCAACATGATTATTATCCTTTTTCAGGATTGTTACAGTGTGAAACTGCATTATTTCTCTTGGAGTTTTCATCAGAACCCATATAACTGTCTTCTGAATAGACTTAATGTAATTAATAATTTCAAGTTTGAAGGTTAATTTTGAAAAGCAAGTTATTCAATTCAAAGCCTGGTGAATAAAAGAAATAAAAGACTAAGACTAATAGAGGGTTTTCTTGTATAGTTTATTAAATGGGAATTCTAAGAATGTTCCAAATATTTAGAGGAAGAGAACTCTTGGAATATAGTACTTAGAATAAGTAAACTACCTAGTTTAAAGGACATCCTATGTAGAATGCATCAAATTTGGCACGTTACTTTGTACCAGTCTCTTTACTTTACACAGTATCCCTTGGTTTACCAAAAGCCTGAAAGATGAAATACAATGCCTGGTGATGATAAATTTAATAGTGTCTTTATTGGTAGATTACAGACACGATTACTGATGGACAACATCAGAACTCAGCAGAACGAGGAATTGTGAGGTAAGGTATTTAACAAATTACCATTGTGGATATATAAGTTATACAAACAAATGGGAATTAACAGATGAGAAATGATAAATGAGGTGCCGAGGTTGTATAAGGAGGTAGGTCCAGAGTAATGATAAGAATGACAGACAATCTATTCAGGGAGTTGGTGAAGATTAATAGGAACCTAAGAGAGTGGCACTGTAATGGGCCAGAAGGGATGATGCCTATTCTTTTTAAGGATTCTTTCTTCAAGCATCAACTGTCTCCTCTTTATCCTATGTGATGTCATAACTAAGAGAGTGCAAATACTTTTTGTATCAGGGTAGAGTGGGGAGGTGGAAGGAGAATCAGAAGTCACCAAGGTGTAACTATCCAAGCTCAAGAAAAGCCAGGCTGAGCCTCCACTCACCTCTTTCTCTGCATCACTCTCACAACCATCTAATGCGTCCACTTCCTTTGCTGACACAGGTACTGGGACTGGGGGTGGTGAAGGATACGTACAGATGCTCAGTGATTTAGTGGAGTCAGTAAAGGTGATAAATGAAGAAAAATGCTGGAGTGCTGTTAAAAATATAGCATTTTGAGTTTGCATGGGAATATAGATTTTCATCAACTAGAAGGAACATTAGAATAAAAAAAAGAAACACATTAAGTGTCTGTAAAATTTCCCTAGAACTAGGATCTTAGAAAGCTAAATATAAATATAAATCTCACAAAGAGGCTGTTTTAGATGATGCAGCAGCTTCTTGGATCAGATTAGCAGTACAAGGGCACCTTGAGGGGAATAAATGAGAGAAGGGGATCACAGGCCATGGGAAGCAGAGGAATTAGGAGTAGCAGCCTCTCTCAAAACTATAGTTACTCACCCAAAAGACAAAGTTTAGTGCCTCAAGCCATGACAAATAAATTGCTCTAATGCTATTTTAATTTCTAAGATAGTATTAGGCTGTTGGGAGCTCTACTCCATTAGATATCACCAAAGACAATCAAGGTAATCAACCTGGGTGTCAAGGCACTGGGCCCAAACTACTGAAGAGCTATTCTATCTTTGACATCACTATAAATTCTGCTACTAAATGATGATGATGAACTTTCTGCCTTTTTTACTAAATGAAAGACCTCTCCACCAGTGTGTGGTTTGTCTAATGTTGAAAAATGTTCAAACTGTGACCGAAGCTTTTCCTAAACTCCTAAGGATTCAGATTTTTCTCCACTATGGATTCTCTGATGTCGTATGAGACTTGACCTCTGAATAAAGGCTTTCCCACACTCACTGCATTGGTAGGGCTTCTCCCCTGTGTGGATTCTCAGATGTTGAATGAGGCCAGTGTTCCCATTAAAAGCTTTCCCACATTCTTTACATTTATAGGGTCTTTCTCCAGTGTGGATTCTCTGATGTTCAATAAGGCCTGACTTTTGACTGAAGGCCCTCCCACACTCACTGCATTTGTAGGGCTTCTCCCCAGTGTGGCTTCTCTGATGGCCAATAAGATGTGAGCTCCGCCTGAAGGTTTTCCCACACTCATCACACTCATAGGGCTTCTCCCCAGTGTGGATTCTCTGATGTCCAATGAGGTGTGAGCTATGACTGAAAGCTTTCCCACATTCATTACATTCATAGGGTCTCTCCCCACTGTGGATTCTTTGATGTAGAATAAGGCCTGCACTCTGACTGAAAGCCTTCCCACACTGATTACACTGATATGGCTTCTCCCCAGTGTGGATTCTCTGGTGCAGGATCAGTCCTGTGTTTTGACTGAAGGCTTTACCACACTCCTTACAGTGATAACGTTTTACTTTGTTGTGGATATCCTGATGGGAAAGAAGGGCGGACCTATAACTGAAGGCTTTACCACACACGTTACACTGATAGGGTTTCTCCCCAGTGTGGATTCTCCAGTGGCGAACAAGGCCTGAGCTCTGAGCAAAGCTCTTCCCACATTCATCACACTTATGTCGTCTCTCTTGCGTGGGATTTCCCTGCTGCCTCTCTAATTTGCCTAGGTCTTGGGTTTCTCCATGCTCAAGACCCCTGATAACATCCCCGTTGTATTTGGCAGCTGTCTCTCCATGTGGTTGTACTCCAGTAGATATTACCTGTTTTGAAGCTAATTCCTTGTTCTCATTCCTGGTCTCAACACCTGAAATAAAAGTATAATAAACATTAAGCCAATGTTATTTCCTATTCTCTAAGCTGGAAGAAAGGAATTGAAGATAGGAGAAAAGGAAAATATATATGGAATAATACAAGTAAACACAAAACTTTAGTCTCCAAAATGGCTTATAACAGGGGGAAGATGTGCAGGATCACACAGAAGTACCATAGGCCAATTGGGAAGGGGTGCCATGAACAAAAAAAGAGGGTTACTGATGGGGGACAGGAGTTGGGAAGGAATCAAGTAAGAAGTGGGAAGGAACATGGAACTACTAAAAGGTTTAATGAATGGCACAGAAATGGGCAAATACCTCATTCATGAAAAGGAAGGTTTATGTGAGAATCTATGTCAGGATCCTACGAGAATTGGGAGGGAAAAAAATACATGAACTAAGAGAGCACTAGTGAGATGTCAATTTCCAACTGGACCAAGACCCAGGTACAAACTATGAGGAATTTGTGTATTAGAGAAGAAAGGTTTAAGTTTTAAACCTCAAGGAGGCTTAATGTTGTATCCCTTTCTGATGAATCCTGAGTTTCAACTCAACTATATTTCCCAGAAAGCTCATAGATATCACGTATATAACAAACAAAAAAACTTAAATGATATTCATAAGCTCTCCTTACCCAGGGAGAACATATTTCTGTAATTCTCGGGCCTATTATCTCTACTCAGATCCTTCTGTGATGGATCAAGAAGCCACTCCTCTCGAATAAGGGACACAGCCATATCTTCAATCTTCTCCAAAGTCTGAAACAAAACAAGATCTTCATTTGGGGCATACAACTGTTTCACAGCCCAAGTCTAGAATGTAAGAGAGACCTACCAATGTATTAAGTAATGGAAATGAACCGTGATAAGGGATGTGAACAGCTGGGAAAAGGGAAATATGCTATATTCATTGTTAAATTTATCACTGTGCAAAAGAATTTGGGTAAGTTCTTTTTTAAAAAATTTTTTTTTTTTTAGTTGTAAATGGACATAATGCCTTTATTTTTTATTTATTTATTTATTTTTGTGTGTGTGAGAGGTGCTGAAAACAAACCCAGTGCCTCACATGTGCTAGGCAAACACTCTACCACTGAGCCACAACCACAACCCTAGCCCAGGTAAGTTCTTGAATAGGTACTACTACAGACAGTCCAAATTTAGGGCAGATGCTAACCAGAGCTATGGGGATTTAGTGAGAAGAAACATGCAACGTACCTGGAACCCTGCTGTGAGAAGTGTAGCTGTTACCTCCTTGTCTCTGGGACTTCCTTTTTGGGAAGAGGTAGGATTCTGGGAAGCAGACAGGGCTGAGGAGAAAGGAGTTATAAATGAGACCAGTCTTGTCCTATGGGTCTGGGAGCTGGTATTTAACCATTCCAAATTATTTGTATTTCAGCATATATGCATGCTGAAGATTTTGCATGTAGAATGCTGATATCTTAGACTCTTGGCTCATACCTACAGTTGCCCACAAAACACCTGCACTTTGATGTCCTTAAATGCAGCCTAAAGTCATGCTCAAAAATATAAAGTGGATCTCAGGGTGGTGGTACACACCTATAATTCCAACTATTTAGGAGGCTAACGCAGGAGGATCACAAGCTTGAGGCCAGCCTCAGCTCAGCAAGATCCTATCTCAAATAAAAAATAAAAAGGACTGGGATGTAGCTCAGTGGTAAAATGCCCCTTATTTCAAACCCCACTTCCTCCCCTGTAATTAAAAAAAAGAAAAAAAAGCATACTGGTTTCCTAACAGAAATTCCCTTTCAATTTTTTCTCTATCACCCAAACTAATATCTTTGTGCTTGTGAATAGTACTCCTTTAAGTCCTAACCTCCTAGCAAACTAAAAATGAAAAACAATCTATCTCTATTAACTCAATTACCTTTCTGAAATGTGTACCATAGTTGCCAGTCTCTACTTCCACTAGATATGAGACCACTTATTACCAAATTAAACATAGGCTGTGTCTTGAGTAATAGGCTTTTATTCTTCAGGTAAGAATTATACTAGTAATCGAGTTTCTATGCTTCTTTTGAAATATAAACCACATATATGAAAAAATGTGGGCTGGGATGTAGCTCAGTGGCAAAGCGTCTGCCTTGTATTCACAAAGCCCTGGGTTCGACCCCCCAGTTCCAAAAAAAAAAAAAAAAAAAATAAATAAATAATAATAATTAAAAAACCCTTAATGTGGGCTGAGGATGTGGCTCAAGTGGTAGCATGCTTGCCTAGCATGTGTGAGGCACTGGGTTCGATTCTCAGCACCACATAAAAATAAAGATGTTGTGTCCACCTAAAACTAAAAAATAAATAAAGAAAAAATGTAATGCAGGGGAAAATGAAATTGAAACATATTATTCTTCAAGAAAGTAAGTAAATTCTCAAAAAATGACAGTGAAATGTCAAAAGGCTATAGGAGACAGAATCATGAGGCCTACTCTGGCCAAATCTGAGATGATGCAAGCATCAATTGAAAGACTATAACAGAATATTTATGGGATAAATAAAAATTTATGAGTCTATGCTGATAACAAAAGAAGAAAATGCACTCTTAAAATAAACAACAAATAAACGTAGAAGGAGAGACAGTTAAAAAAAAAGAATCATCATTTTTCTAACCAGCTTAGTAATCACTCAGTAAAGAAGCATCAATGAATACCAAAACTAGTATTTTTTAAGAAGCAAAAGTTTGATGAGGATTAGGATTACACAAACTCAAGCATACCTCTCCACAAATTATTTACTAATGGAAAGGGAAAATCAGTAACTTTACAATGATTAACCTTGCAAGAATAACTTTAATCAAGTCATCAAAGACAACATCACCAATAGGAGAAATTTATGTTGTACCCCTGAAAAGAATACAACATCACTTTTGAAGTGTTCTGGCCAAATATGTACAACCTGAACCTAAACATGAGAAAATATTACAAGAATCCAAATTGTAGCTGTTCTACAAAACATCATATTTGTATTCTTCATAACAGTCAAGAACATGAACGAGAAAGAAAGAATGAGAAACTATGTCAAATTAAAGGGTACTAAAGAAAATTGTATTTTTTTGTTTTGGTCTAGACTGGACAAAAAAAAAATTATTGGGGCAATTGGCAAAATATGAACTATGGACAAGATTAATATTACATCATTTTTACATTCCTACTGTGTTTAATTTATTGTAGTTATCTAAGAAATGCACATGTTTGAGGAAATGCATATTTCAATATTCACAAGTGATGTATTATGATATGAGCAAAATCTCAAAAATGTTTATGTTGTAAATACACTGGGGTAATAGAAATGTGTGACTACTTAAAAATCTCTAAATCCTTTAATTTGTACATAAGTTTACCACTAGGACTAACAGCCTGCATTTGAAATCTAGATAAACATTTAAATTTAGATATTGAGCTGGTCTGTAAATAGTAGTTCTAGCTTCTGATTTTCTAGGAACTAGACAGGTCCCAAATGTGTCTTTTCATTCCTATGAAATCTGACTCCTCACCTCTGTCCTGTGATTTACGCTGGGTTATCACAGGTTGGAGCTGAGTACTTGGAGGTTCTGGTGCAGATTCTGAAGGAACCACTTCCTCCCAGAGTACCCTATGTCCATGTGCACGAGCTGGGACCTAGAAACAATGGGACAGTTGGATTATAAGAAATCCCTTTGAGAAACAAAGTGAACAACATAAGAGGACCAACAGCCTATCTTCAGGGATACACACTTTGGGAAGAAACAGTAGGATTTCTTTTTTTCCCCTAGGGGTAGCAAAGAATACAATCATGTGAACTAGACTGAAAGAAAGGCATTTCTTCTCAGTCCTTAGGGAAAAGATTTTGCCCTCACTACTACACAGAACACCAATATTTTATGCTCCCAGGCAAGGGGAAGGAAAAAAAAAAAAAAAAAAGAAAAACTACTACCTAAAGTAGTGCCATAAGTGGCAAAAATCATTTTTGATGAGGAACTAGGGGCACCGAGTTCTGACTTCAGATCCATCTTTTAATTATTTGGGTGTTCCTAAAAAGATAATTTAAGCTTCCTATCTTAAATTTTTCAGGTTCCCACCTGGCAAACAGGGACAGTACAGTAGTAGGGATGTTATGATAATAAAGTATGGATTATACTCTTTACAAAAACAAACTACCCAGTTTCCAGGACTCCCACAATCACAGCATGTACAACTTCAACTTACTGGCCGTCCTAGTATATCAATCTGTCTTTCCAAATCCTCCAATAAGGTCACCACTTCTTCTCCATTTTCTAACTGATGTTCCTTAACTAGAGTCTGCAGCTCCTCAGGCAGGATAGTCAGGAACTGCTCCAGCACCAGCAGCTCCAGAATCTGCTCCTTGGTATTCAAATCTGGCCTTAGCCACTGATGGCAAAGTGCCCGGAGCTGGATCAGAGCCTCTCGGGGTCCTAGAGTCTCCTGGTAGCACAATTGTCTGAAGCGTAGGCGGAATAGTTCTTGGCCAGGAGGGTTATTTTCATGCAGGCTAGATTCTGGGTCCCAATCATGATCTTCCTCTACCTTGACGATTACAAGGTCCTCTTCAGGAGTCTGGTCAGGTGGAGATGGGGCTGAAGAAAGCTTTCTTGATTCCGTAGCCATTTAGGGCCAGAAAAACTCGGGAAACTTGTTTTTACTACCTTCTTTTCCTTCTTAAGATAAGAACCTTCTGAGGGCCTCAAGGATACTTCTTCAGAAAGAGAAAATTAAAAAATAGTGTTAAAGCAAGTTATGAGTCATAATGACTAAGACAGCTTAACAAGCTCCACCCCCAAGACACAGACTTAATGGCTCAACTATGTATATGTTCCAGCAATAACTCCTTACATTTCCTTAAGCTTCTGTCATGCCAAACCCACCCTGGAAATATCCCTTCCTTCTGCTTTCTCTGTAGGGTCTTGAAGGATGGTTAAACAAAGCAGGAAACCATAGAGACTTGGACTAACTGAAATTCTGTGCTTAACTTCAGCTGGTCCTTTAACCCCTGTTAGCATTCTTTATTTCACCAGTTACACTAAACTGTTTCTACATACTTTTTCAACCTTTCTCTCATTGATAAGACTAATTTCCAAATAATCTAGCTCAAGAGGAAGAACTTTCCTTTCTTCCACCTAACATTTAGCATCAATGCCCATGCCCACCCAACTTCCCTCCTATCTCAAGACTAATCTACTTTGGACCTCAAGTCTAGCTTCAGAATTCTTTTTGGAACAGTGAATCTCCTAGAAACCTGCATGCTCCAGGAACATCTATAATGCAAAAACTGAATCCCACACACCAATAACATTCTAAAATATAAATAAATACAGTAAATATTCTTTTCAGTCTTAGCATAATACATTTGAAATTACTCAATGTTATATGTACTGGTAGTTTATTCATTATACAAATCAATGTTTATCCACTCCCCAATGGAGAGATAATCTGAGTGGTTTCCAGCTTTTGATGATTATGAATAAAGCCACTATGCACATTTGCACATTAGTTTTTATGTGAATATAATGCTTTTCCACTTGGGTAAATTGTCCAAAACTAAAATTGTTGGGTCATAAAAACACATGTATAACTTTATAACCAAGTGTCAAACTGTTTTTCAAAGTGGCTGTAACATTTTGTATTGCACTAACAATAAATGAGAGATGCAGGTGCTCACCATATCCTTGCCAGTACCTGATAATTGTGTTTTTAAAATGAGAAATTCTATATGTAGTAGTATCTCATTTAAATTTTGCCCTTCCTTACCCACCTGTAGATGTTGAGCATCTTGTTATGTATTTTATGTGCTATTTTGCCATGTTTATTCTCTTTGGTGAAGTATCTATTGGAAACTTTTGCCTACTTGGAGTTTTTTTTTTTTCAAATTTTGAGAATTCTGTATTTATTCTGGATACAAGTTCTTTATGTGATATGCGATTTACAAATATGTCTTTCGTTTATTCTTTAAATAGTGGCCTTTGGAGAACACAAATCTGTACTCTTTTTGAAGTCTAATTCCTCAATATTTTTTTTTTCTTTTAAGGACTGTTTTTGATGTCCTATCTAAGAACTCTTTTGCTTAACCTCAAATCGCAAAGATTTTCTTCTAGAAGTTTTATGTTTTACATTTTAATTTTTTCTCAGAGTTTGAGGTATGGATAGGGGTTCTTATTTTTTTCCCCTTGCACACTTCTATAAATTTGTTCTAACACCATTTGCAGAAAGGGTTATCCTTTATCTACTCTCTTTATATCTCTTGTCAAAAGTCAATTGACTATAGATATGTGGGCCCAATTCTAGATTCTATATTCTGTTCCCTTGATGTAAATTTAACAGATACAAAACTGTCTAGATTGTTGTGGATTTTCAAGTCTTAAAATCAAGCAGTCTGAGTCTTGCAACTTTGTTGTTTTTGAAACTGTTTTTGTCTTTTTCAGTTCTGTTAAAAAATCCTAGAATTGGATCTTTGTTGATGTACAGCTTATTTTAAGAATATCTTTTCTTTCTCTTCCTTTCTTCTTTTTTTAGGGGTGGGTGGGGAGGTGGTGCTGAGAATCAAACCCTGGACTTCACATATGCTAGGCACGTGCTCCACCTCTGAGTCACAACCTCAGCTAGGGATATCTTATATTGACAACAATGTTAGAAATGACATTTTAACAACACTGAGTTTTCCATTTCATGAACTTCAATCTTGCTCTTCATTTTCATTTGTGCCCAAATGACCTCTTCCCACCTCCATCTTTGAGCACCTGCTTCTTAATGACTTCATGTCATTAAACATCAAGTTTCAGCACTGAGATTCACAACATAAACACTTCCCTCTTCAGGGCTTTGAGACAGACAGGAACTACATTTCCCTCCTGAGGTAAGTTAAAAGTTTGTCTTGCAAATCCAAATCCAGCCTCCTTTAATGGACAGGGGGCCCAGCATAGCTAGTGCCCTTCTGTTATTACTCATTGCCCAACATACAAGCCCAGGATCTACTTCTCCTGCTGGAGTTTGTGATCTTACCCCAGGAAGAAACTTTCTGGGCCAGATATCTAGCACTAACCTTCATCTGGGTGTGGGGAAAACCATGACTTTGTATAAACCTCTATTGGCACCTTTGTTTCAAACTTCCTTCTTTTGGCAGTGGAGAGGTGGAGACCGGGGGAACAGGGGGACGGGGGAGGGGAGGCTAGGGATTAAATTTAGGGGCACTCCACCACTGTGCCACATTAGAGGCAGTGTCTCACTGAGTTGTTTAGTGCCTTGCTTTTGCTAAGGCTGGCTTTGAACTCACAATTCTCCTGTCTCAGCCTCTCTGGAGCTGATGGGATAAGGGTAAGAGAAAACACTGCCACTTGAATTGGAAGTTATTTATTTCTTTACTACTCTACATCTCTCTATAAAAATGTATACTGCTTTCCCATTACTGTAGATTATTAGTTGCTAGGGAGTTTTTACTTCTTAACTTAAAATGTATATTCCTCATGGATACAGATTTATCTTATTAATAGAACCAAAGAACATTACCTTATTTTATTTATAATACCTAACAGAGAATATGTCTAGGTTTGTTATAAAAGGGTTAGAAACAAAAATCTGAGGTCCAAAAAGAGTCTTATTTCATGGCCCTATGTATTTGTGGGACATATATCTCTGGTTTCTATCCTTGGTATAGGTATCATCTCTTGCCTAAGGTTGCTGTGGTTAACTGGTCTTCTTTGGTTATTCTTTCTCTCATTTATGTTTCACATGCTACCTTTTGGGGGTTGAATTGTATTCCCAGAAAAGAGACATCTTAACCTCTGGGATGTGTAAATGTGACCTTCCTTGGAATTAGGGTCTTTGCAGATATAATCAAATTAAGATGCAGTTATATTGGAATAACGTGAGTCTTTAATCCAACATGACTAGTATATTTTTAAGGGAAGAGACTCAGATACTCACAGAGGGAGACAGTCATGTCTTAAGAGGCCTCCTTTTCACAGACCTACAGATAAAAGAAAGCCATTTGATTACAGAGACAAGAGTTACACAGGTGCAAGCCAAGGAATTCCAACAATTACTAGTAAAAACCAGAAGCTTGAAAAGTACAGTCCCGATGACACCTTGATTTTGGATTTCTAGTTTCCCTATTTGTCAAAGAATAAACTTCTGTATCATTAAGCCATCAACTTTGTGATACTGTTAGGACAGCCTCAGGAAACTAATATATTGCCAAGGAGCCTTTTAACAAATAAGTAATATAGCTCATCTCCTTTAGAATCTTTCTACAGGGAACCCAACTCTAGCATGGTATGCAAGATCAAGAAAAGTAGGTAAAGGAAACACTTTGTTTTGGTTATCTTAGATTGTGTTAGCTAAATGTTTTAACACCTACCACTTTTAACATTTATGCACAAAAAAATTCAAAACGTGTGCATTTGTGAAACAGACGCTTCCATAAATGTGCTCAAAAGAACTAATCAAACAACAAAATATGTTTTTAGAGATGGTGGTTCCACTCACAGTAGTCTGACAAAAATTATTCATTATTGACTCGAGTTTTGGAAATGAGACCCTCCCAAAGGGTTCTCAGGCATCTACTAAAGTTAGCTTTAATAAATTAAATAAACTATTCTGAATAAGATACCATACTATCCTGAAATTGTCGAAATGTTTCTTTTGTTCAATTATTCAGTCAACACACCATCAAAGAAAAGAATAACCTAACAGCAAAAATGGATAACTGGGGCTTCTACAACAAAACAGATCTTTAAAAAACAAAACAAAACAAAAACAAAAACAAAACAAAACAAACAAACAAAAAACCCGGAGATTTTATTGAGACCAAAAAGTAAAATTACTAAGTTAAAAAACAATTCAGACCATGGAAATAGTCGGAAAAAAGACAACGCGGGGCAATTCCCTATATTAAGATAAATAAGATCGATGGCAAGATTATACCACAAAACGACTAGCTCTGAAGAAGGCGAACCCCCATAACAGGTTACCTCGCAAAAAGTTTGGGGACTTGTATTCCGCCTGAGATAACAACTAAAGAGGACCCTCAGCGTGAGACTCAGCCCCAGTCGCCGACCACCGCACAGGCGCCCTCTCCGGACCCCTCAGGCCTGTCGTTAGCTGCGGCCTGCTCCGGCCACAAAGAGACCCCCTTCCTCCGGCCTGGAGCCCGACGGTACTCACCGCGAGTTCCAGAGGCTGCGCGGGGTGGGGTCAGGGGGCTGCAAAGGGTGGGCAAACACAAAGAAAAGGAGTGGAGAAAACAGTACGAAAAACACTGTTGGACCAGGCCTCTCCAGCCACCAACTTCCAAACCTGTGGAGGTACTACACCGGCCAGCGCGCATCTTGCCCCAAAGGCACTTCCGGGAGCTCTCTAGGAATCCAGGAGGTCTGACAGCTCTATGGTCAGACGACTGAGCGGACCAAAGCACCTTGTTTCTCCAGGGCGTTACACTGTGACTTGGGCTCCTCCTGCGTCTGCGTACGTGAAAGTCCTGGCTACTAACGGATTTGGATGTCACCTGTGCCTTGCGCCCTGGTCAGCTCAGGCGTTGACTGCCAAGGGTAACGGTCCCCAGAGGCAGGTCCGAGGGCGTGCAAAGGCCGGCCTGTGCTGGCAATAGAAGGGAAGGG